TCAGATCCATTTGAAGAATGCGCACTATGTGAATAAATAATAATTTCAAAATAGGAAAACAAAACTATTTAATCCCAGAAACTTTTCATTTCTTTTCCGAAGAAACTACTACTTTTAACAAGTACTTTTCACCAGATCTCAAAGTTAAAATGAAGAAAAAAGAAAAAATTCTAAAAAGAAAGTTTCGAAATTTATATTTAATGCAACGCAACGCTCTCTTTCACTCTTTTTCGTAATTCGTAATGCATTCTGGAAGGCACTATTTAAAAGGGTTGAAGAAAGAGAATTGGCTTTTAATTGATATTCTGTTGTTCACACTTTTAAATCCAATGCCGATGAATAAAATGTTGATTCGACACGAGTCCACCTCACTCCCGCGATGCTTGCAGGTTCATATGAAAATAACTGCAATGCACTACGGAATTGACGCGGATTCCGCTCGTGTTCTTCACTGATGAAGTAGATGAGTAGATTTTCAAGTTTCTTCAAGTCTTGGTTTATTCTTCCCTTTCTTCTCCTCATTTATCCTTCTTCTCACACGTTCATCATTTATTTCGAGCGTTGCATATTTATTTATTTTTATAAGCACCACAAGTGTCGCCTTATTAAGAATTCTACTTCGTGTGCAAAAAAGTTCTTTTAACTTATACAAACGCAGAGCTATAATACAGTATATGAAATTCTTTTTCCATGAACTTTTTACTGCTTCTAAACAAACAAAAGTACTCTTCTCGCCTAATAAATTGCTTATACTAATATTCACTTACATTTATGATAAAATTAATGAAATTCTGCATAAAGACTTGTTCATTATCTTCATTCGTATTATTTTCCACCTCTTTGTGCAAACTATTTTCACCCATTGTACAATTTAAACACAAATATATTTATCGCTCTTAAAGTTAATATGCGCAAATAGTTGTAAACATGGAGCAAATTAATTTGCAATTAATCTACATATTTTATTTCACGAAATTTTAATTTAATTACCTAAAATTAATAAAAAAAAATTTAATTTTAGAAGCAAAACATACTAAAAGCGTTTGAAAACATTTTTTAATATTCTAGAATAAAAACTTAGATTAGAAACTCAATTCTTCGGCCGCAACTGACTAGGATAGAAATATTCGCGTTCTACGCTGAATACAAGCAAAATTTAACTGAAATATAGCAGTTTTTCTTTATATGCACGTGCAATATTACCGCCTTTCCTCTCATATTCAAACAATCTTTTTCCTCTTTCGCAGTCACTCCCTTTTTCCGCCCATGAGATTACTGCTTGGTTGTTGGCAACTCGAATTTGATCATTTTTTTCTCTCTCGCTTTTTGCTTGATTTCAGTTCTCATAGAAAACTCAAAAGCGACAGACTATTCAAATTTAGTATTTGTTCTATATAGCAGGTATATTTACCACAATTTAAAAAACGCGTATGAAATATTTCATTTTTTCCAATATACAATAGATATTTCACTTTTTTATTTAAAGTTAAATTTCGATTGAAATTTTCAAAAATCCTGGTGTATAATTCTCATGAAAAAAACAAAATTATTCTTAATTTAGTTGGAATTATGGATTGATCCATAAAATTCATGATTTTTCCATTTCGATGCAGATGAGATCGAGTGATTTTCTCTAAAATCTTCTATTGCAATAAAATTTTTTTACATATACGATTGAAAGCTTGAATAATTAATATCTACTGGAGCGGCACATATATAATAAAGAGAATAAAAATATTTTTTATAGAAAAATCAAAAATTCAAAATGTTGGTAAATTTTCAGCGCAAATAAAATTGAGGTATTTTAGTTGAATAAATTTTATTATCTTTTACAGCTGAATTTTTATCAAAAATAATCTAATTTTTCTCAAATTATTAGTTGTGTGTTATAGTTTTCTTGAAAGTATCAAATTGATATTCTAAGTTTGACTACTTTTTAACTACTTTTCTTAGTTTAATTAGAACACCAAGCGAATTAAGAAATTTGTATAAGATTATCAAAAAGTTGTTAAAAAAACAAAAATGTAGTTTTCTCTTTTGAATTAGTAAAAATGTTTACTAATTTGAATTAGCGACTGACTTTTTGCTTTTAAATTAGTAAATATTACTAATAAACAGTAATTTCTAATAATTTATTAATAAAATTTACTAATTCAAAATGAAATAGTCAGTCATTAATACGAATTAGTTAAAAATAACTAATTTTATAGCAAAAATATGAAATAGTTGGAAATAACTAATTATTAGTTAAATTCACTTGTAAGATATGTAAAAATATCTCAAATTTTTGGTAACTAATTCAATTATTTACAAACATTTTAATTAAATTCTATGCAAACACACAGTAAAAAGAAAATCTTATTTTAAGGCACGAAAGCTGCCTTAAATTAAGATGCAACATTTTTAAGACAGTCAATGTTGAATTTACGCACGTTTTTCGTATCCTTTAACATTATAGCAGACAGTGTTGAATTTAAGGTAGCTCTTAAATTAAGATTTACTTTTTACTGTGCATTTAATTGTTTTTCTAAATAATAAAAATTTTACAGGAATTCAAATTATTTACAAAATTTTTTATAAATTTCTTCGCAAAAATTCAATTATCTTCATAAATAATAAAAGTTATCGCAGAATTATTAATTATTTTTAATACAATTTTAATCGAATTCTTCGAAAAATCTAATTATTGTTAAAAGTTTTATTAAAATTCTTCAAAAGAATTCAATTATTTACAAATTTGTTGATAAAATTGTTCCTGAAAATTAAATTTGAAGAAACATTTAATTTTATCCAATAAATTATTTATTTTTGTATTTAAATAACTGAATTTTCATAGATTAATAAAAATTGATTAATGATTTTATCACTAGGTCATCTTTAATTATGACTTTCAATATCTGCTATAATTTTAATAAAATTTTCCAAAAGAATTCAATTATTTACTAATGTTTTATAAATTTCTTTGCAATAATACGATTATTTTCATAAATAATAAAACTTTTCACGATTCAATTATTTACAAAAATAATAAAATTCTTTTACGGAATTCGATTATTTCAATAAATAATAAAATTCATCGCAAAATTTCGTAGAATTATTTTTAATACAATGTTAATCGAATTCTTTGAAAAATGTAATTATTGTTAAAAATTTTATTAAAATTCTTCAAAAATTTCTTCTTGTTTCAATTAATTGAAAATTTTTTGATAAAATCCTTTATGAGAATTCAGTATGGAGAAATATTCAATTATTCAATAAATTATTTATTTTTGTATTTAAATAATTAAATTCTCGTAGAATTTTTTAATAAATAAAAATTGATATGAAAATGGATTTGAATTGAAATTGTAGATAATAATAATTGAATATTAAAAGCAATTTAGCGTGAATTTTTAGAAATAATTGAATTTTGAAAGGGTTTTAAATTAAAATCTTTGAAAACATGATTATTTCACACTTTTAACTAACAATCCTGTAGAATTAATTTTTTTTTGAAAAAGTTTAAATTTTAAAAATAAATTCAAGTTTTTGTTTTTAAATAAATGTTTAATGGAAGAATTTCCAAATAATTAAATTTTCGCAAAATTGAATTGTAAACAAATTGATTCATTTCAAATTAAGTTAAAGAAGAATTTTAGTTGAAAATTCTAGAAAATAATAATTGCATTTTTAGAGTGAATCAAAATATTCTTTGATGTCAAAGTTCAAAATTTTGTCTGAAAATAAGAGAACAGTCAGGGAAAAAAAAGATGAAAACAATTTTAAAGAAGTTACAGTAACAATATTTTTAATATTTTTATAATATATGAAATAATTTATCTTATCACTCGGTCATCTTTAATTTTTATAAAACGTGAAAAAATATTCTTATAAGTTGTTGAATTTCAAAAAGGTTTGAATTTGATAGTTTTGAAAATCTTAATTTCTACGGAAAAGCATTTATGATTCAATATTTATTTAAAAAAGAAGTTATTGATGTTTTCGAATGATTTCCCAATTAAAGAAATTCGTAAATAAATGTAATAGAAATTTTTTCGAATATCTAGTATTTCTTATAGAGTGGATCAAAATAGTCTTTAGTTTTAGGGAAAAAGTTAAAATTTCGTCTGTAAAGCATGGAAAAAGAAATTAAAATTTTTGTGTCAATATTATAGTGTTAGAGAGTATTTTTTAGTCCGAGAAATTTTGCTGAAAATCAGTTGAGAATGATTGAAATAACATTTTCGAAATCCCATTGTAAAAAGATCCCAATGTGAAATGTGAAAATACCCTGTCAGTGATATTGTCTATACGGTCAGCCCGTCTGATTTTACCGAGTTAATCCACTAGCGCCGCACTTGAAGGCGTAAGTGGTATACGTCCGCTTACATCAGACAAATTTATCCGCAAGTGGAATTCCGTGAGACCCGTGCCACGTGCGCACATTGTAGGAAAAGTACAATTCGTTTTGCAAATGTAATATTTATTCCTATTATTATTATTATTGCTTAAATAAACATCTCTTCGATGCTAACAGTGTGCGTATGAATATTCAAATCGCAAATATTTGTATTTGATTATATTAATAATTGAAAAACGTATTTAGTTTAAAGCATTTTACTGCTGAGAATCACAAGGGAGTGATGAAAATATATAATCATAAATACCCATAAAGTAAATATACATATATAGAGTAGGATCGGTATAAATTCTAAATATTTTATTCTGTATTGAGAACTTTTCTATACTGCGAGCATATATATGTGCTGTGAAATCCCATTGAAAGCCATATTTCATTCATGTGAAATTGAAGCAGAAAATTGTACAAACTTTCAGGAAAGAATTGTGTACTGATCATAATGGATTGAATTGAAAGCTAAATTAAAAAAAGGAAATGTAGACGTTCTATTTTTATAGGTATTTAGATGAATTTGTCTACAGATTGAAAATTTCCTTTGAGAAGTTCGAAAAGAATTATGGAATAAGAGTCAGCTGCACTTTGGGAAATAAAATGCACTTACCGTGTGGAGGTCGAGGAACGTAGAGGTTGAGATAGAGGCAGTCTTCGCTCTGGTTGGCTAAGATGGGCGCAATCTTTTCGAGGTAGAGTCGCCTGCTCCTGGGCAGCTTGGGGTCCGACTTGGGGGGTTTCTGGGGGCAGGCGGCGGGCAAAGTGTCTGCGAGTTTAGTGCCCCGCCAGGTTGTAGGTGTAACAGGCGGCATATATCGTAGAGAGCCAAGAGGCGGAGTAGCGTAAGGCACGCCATAATAAATTTCGACATCTGAAGTTCTGGCCGCGACTCCGCGCAGCGTTCCGTACCTCGTTCTGACCACTCTGGTGCTGTACTTCTGTCCGCCAGCGAAGGCGTCCGCTGGCAGCCAGGGTCCGAACAGCAGTCCAAGGAAGACGCACACCAGTGCCAGCGATCCCAGTTTATTCGGAGCCTTCTCGGCGACGACCTGAGGACGAACGTCGGCCTCGGCCTCGGCCTCTTCAGCCTTGTCGTCCGGGTCCTCGGCATCGTCCAGGGCTCGGTTTTCGATCCTCGGTCCCCTTGTCCTCGTGGCAGCGGTGGAGGGCGTCCGCATCGCGTCACGCCTCCGCGGCCTGGCCCCTCCGGGCCCAGCATCTGTGGCGTCCTTCCCGGCAACAGGACCCGACTCCGGGGACCAGTCGACAATTCTCTCTCTCCTCGTGCTTCGAGGGCAGACCACTTTCTTCCTTAACAGTTGCCGCTCGGAAACTTTGACGCGCCGTTGTCTCTGCAGCACAACTACCTCTCAGTTCCATTCTCGAGCACCCTCCAGCACCTCCTCGACTCCGCAGCCACCGTCGACGTCGTTAAGGCCGTGATCGAGCTCGAGTTCTCGCCACTGGATAATCTTGCGGGCGTCATCGGCACACGCTCAAAAGGAAGGGCTCAGTCTTCAATCTTCCTCAGTCTTCCCACAACCCGAGCACAGTCAATAATTCGAGGCACTTTTGCAAAACTGCTGACGCTCCAATTCAAAGACAAGCTCCAATCGTGGCTAGACTCTAAAGTTTCTCCTCCTTTCTTGCTTAAGAAATGACTCTTTCTCTGCAGTCTCTAATTCCACCTAACGCCCATCTCCAATTTCTCTTGCTGCTCCCGATGCAACCGTGTCCCGATTTCCATTTTTATCTCCTCTCGCTGTAACAATCATTCGAATGTAATTAGAAACCCTGCAATTATCACCGTACTTACTTTTAACATATAAGTTAACACAATTTCTCTTTGAATAAAAATTCCTTCGTGTATCAATTAGAATTCCCTTTTGTATCCTTAGAAAAACATCAAAATACTGTAGAATCTTTAGAAGCAAAGTATCTTCCAAAAGATTCTACACTACTTGTATCGTTAAATGAATTAAAAGAAAAATTATTTGCCAAAATTAAACCCGACAAGGGAAATACTATCAGACTCTTATGTACTTGTACTTGACAACCATTCGATAGAGAAACTCTCATTGAGACGATTTGAAAACTTGAAAAGAGGATCAAAGCATCAACGGATTATAGGTCGGATACTCGGATCGATAACGATAATGAGAATCGAACTCTTCTTAACGTTTTTTCCAGTACAAGTGAGAAAGCTATTTTTATTTAAGAGTTCCCTGTCTGAATATATCACTTATGTGAAATGATACTTCCAGCTACTTCAATCAACAAAGGAATTTAATTAAGTTGATCAACTGGTCATACAGCGGCTATTGTACTCAGCAGCAGCAAACAATACAGGGAATAATTTTATACCAACTCACTTTTGTTTGAGTGACAGTAAACAAGAGTATAAACACGGTTTTCTGACCATTTAACTCTAAATTTTAATTTAACGCTAAATGGTCAGAAAATCCTCTCTAACTACATGAAATGCTTCTGTTGGCGTGACATTCACACGTTATCATTCAAGTACCATGAGTTAAAAAGGGTATTAGAAATATTTAGCGGAAAAGTTTTTGCTGCATCTCTTTTGTTGGATCGAATCTATTAATTTTCAACTATTCACAGTTTTTCTGCGGATATCAAATTGAAACAAAAAACAAATCAAAAGTTAACACTTTTGATTCGTTTTTTGTCTCAATTTGATTTCCGCAGAAAAACTATGTTGTTTTCAACTATGTATGCCTTAAATTAGGAAAAGGTTAAGCTTCATTTTTGGGACTACCCAGAATATCAGATCATCTTGCATACAACAGAACTTATGGTTATTTTAGGAAACTACAAATTTACATGAAAAGAAGTCATAAATACAATTACATGATTACTATTATCCGTTTTATATCGCAAAAAAGTCAAAAGTTCACATGGTCATCTTTAAATAACTGTAAATTCCATAATCGTCAACAAAACCCCTTCATGTGTGCCTTAAAATTGAAAAAAGGTTAAAAGCTTCATTTTTGGGGCTATCAGCAAGATTTTAACTTGCAAACAATAGAACTTGTGGTCATTTGAAGAAAGTACAAGTTTGCATGCAAAAAAAGTTGAAAGTTTACATTGTTGTCTTCAAACAGCGGAATCTGAATTGATCTGAATCAAAACATTCGAAAATCTGAACCATTCTCTGAATTTTCGAATGATTTATATAAATATCTATGAATTATTAGACATCAGTGCTCGGTATAAATAGAAAATTTTGATGAAGCTTGTTTAAGTATTGAAGTGAATATTTAATCTTGAAACATTGCAAATAGAGATGAAGGGACTTTGGAAACCTTATAAACATTTACTACAAGTGTCGCTGGGAGAATATTGAGAGTGAATCAATGTAAAAATCGATTGATGAACCTACATTGATTTGTAGACTAATATTGGCAGTTACGTTGAAAGCTGAGGGCGTTTGTCGAATAGAATCTCCTCATTTAATAGCATCTTCACACTGTCTTATCTCGTTCACCTAAACGAGCACTAGAACGCAGCAGGGCATTTTCAATTTTCAATCATGTCACTTGTATCACTGTCCCATCACTCGAAATAGCCAGTTCGTCTCGAGGAAGTTGGCGCTAATTCACTGTATCCTTCTCGGCAAGGAGGAAACTCAAGATTCTTAGCACCCTCACCCTATTCCTCTTCAATCGTGCATTCGCACGTACTTCCACTCGAGCCGGCGTGCCTAACAGCTCCCGTGCTCAATTCGATTTCAAAGGCGAAATGCAGAGAGCGATATATTCAAAGGGACTTACTTCCCTTTGTAACGACAAAGGTGTTTATAAATATGAAAAAACGAGTGAAATTCCGCAAAATGAAAAAACAGTTGGCACGGAAGCACTGCAGAGTGTCAGAGCCGCAAAGAACGTACTGCTCCTGGAGTGTCCCGGGCTCTACTGGCGCTAGGGTCAGAGCCATGCCAGTGGTGGTGCCGACGTGGATGCTTCTGCTGCTGATGCTGCTGCTGCTGCCGGAGGATGGTCCGGCTCTCTAGAGCGCCGAGGCTGAAGAGCGCAGAAGCATTCCTCATTTTCCCAACTACACACGGACTAGCTGGTCGATAACACCACGGCAACCCCCGGGTCGTTCCGGCTTCCCTCCCTCCCCCACAAACCCCATCTCAACTCGCATCTCTTTCTCGCACTTCTCTCTTCCTCGCGAGTGTTATATACCCTCGTATCGGTACGCGGGAGACGCCCCCGCTGCGTCGCGTCGCGCCGAGCCGATCCATCCGCACACCCACACAATCTCACGTGCACCTGCAAACTGCAAACTGCACACGTCAATGTAAAGCCATCCTGCAACGAACTGAAACCTCTTCACGATCGGCTATCTCTCAAATCCGACGGTTTCAACAACTTATGGCTCAGCTTTTCAACATAAAGATGTATCGCGCCAAGGAAGACCGTAAATTAACAACTTTTTAAATCTGAATAGCTGCTCTGCGCGAAAAAAATTAATTTCATTCTCTCTCCCCGATAATTACTGTCATTAAATGACAATGCAGTAATTACAAAAATTGCTATTACAATTGTCGCAATATTATCTAATCTCTAAAACTGAATTAGTAGTTCACTAATGGGTTCGTTTACCAAATTAGTAACATTTTTGACTAATTTTTAGTAAAATAAATATTTGCTAGTAGAAAACTAGTAATTCATTTAGTAAGTCGGCTTACTAGCTTGAAATAATAAAAAATGCGACTTACTTGTGAACTAGTAGTTTTCTAGTAGCAATTAGTAAAAGAACTACTAAAAATAGTAAAATGCTAGTAGTAAAAATTAATAAAAATCGTTGCTACGTTCGAAGTAAATTTTACTACGTTCAAAGAACATATTTGTATAAAATTAGTAACATTTATTTCGAACATAGCAAAATTTACTCTTCAAGTAGTAAAAGTTAACAGAAATGTTTTACTATATAAAATTGTATTTTATGTAATGTAATTAAACATCAACATTTAATTGCAAAAATGAAATATTTTTATTAAAAAAAAGAAAAATCCGAAAATCGTATTTTAGATAATGTAATTAAATACAACAATATTTAATTACATTACCGAAAATACGATTTTCGAATTCTTTTTCTCTTTTCCTTCTCTTTCGAAATAGCAACCTTTTGCTCTACTGATGAGTAGGGAATGAATTCGGATTTTGCTGAATCCAGGCAAAAAACATTCACATACGAAATTACATGCTGATTTTCTATATTTCATCTCTCGGCTGACCTCTTTTCTTCTTGAGAATAATAACAAATAGTCTCTTTCTCTCTGACATATTGTAAAGAAAAAAATCAAAGATTTTGAAAAATTTATTTTAAATATATATTTTACGTCAAAATGAAATCAGCCGTATAGCGTATATATAATAGTAAAAGACAATATATGCAGTTCAACAAAACTCTCGAATTCTTGAAATCTCAATACTACTGGCTGGGTAAAAGTGAGTTTAATTCGCAGACAGAAAATCAGTTTTACTCAAATGTTTTGAATTCTTGTAATTTTCCGAGTTCTTTTATAACTTTAGTGTCAGCAGTATTTTGGAATTTTAATAATGAGACTAAAGTTTAAAAAAAATTGAAAATTTTTTTTCAAAAGTTAATTCATCTTCAATTATTTTGATGTTGAATGGGAAAAGTAAAAAGAAAGTCTTATTTTAAAACGGAATAGGAAAAATCTTAAATTAAGATGTAATATTTTAAAAATTTAAAGCCAATGAATTTCGGAGAATTTTACATGCAAGCAAATACTGTGAATAGAAAATCTTAATTTAAAATCAGCCTTAAATTCAGTACTACCTGCTCACAAGCTGTTTGAAAAGTTACATTTAAAAATCTTCTCGTTTCATAAAGTCACGTTTATTTAAGTCAATTATTTAATTAACGATCAATTTTTCACTGGAAATTAAAGCTTTAGTGTATAAAAACTTATTTCTGTTAACATTAGAAATTGTCATTACACTTAGAAAATTTTTTTTTAATACTAAAATAAGTAGCCAACCAAGAAAATATGTTTGAATTAAACATATTTTATAATTGACATAAACGTAATTTTTATTGAATCAAACTTATTGCGTATTTAAATCAAAATTATTATTCACTTATATTCACTTTTTTTTATTTAAAAATAAATAAAATAATAATAAATAAATAATAAAAAATAATAAATAAAAAAAAGCTCTTTATTTAAAAATTAACAAAAATTAAGAAAGCCAAGTAAACAAACTTGACATTTTAGAATTTGACCTAAAATTGAATCGAAATGAATAGATATGCTTTTTATGATTTTTTAGTTTTATTAATTTTATTTGTTTCTTGTTTAAAGTGTTTTTTTTTATTTTTGAAATGATTCCTTTCAAAATATAAAAGAGGGAAATTTTGTCATTTAGATATGAATATTTAATGCCAAGAGGGGAAAATTCTTCAAAAGAAGAGAAATCGTCAAAAATTGAGAACTTCTTTTTCGATGTATCAAATTTTGTAAATAGCAGTAGTAAAATGCTGCTGTAGTCAGACGCAACTCTTCATGAGATTTGCAATTCCTGCTGAAAAATATAATTTGACCAGATTTCCTTTAAGATTTTTTTCTTAAAAATTTTCTTATATTCTCAAAATTCGCAAAAAATTGATAATAAAATATAATAATAATAAAATACATCTTTTGTGAATTATTATAATTTAGAATTTTTTATTACAATTTCTGTAATTATCACACTGTTTTATTTAAATTGAGAATTTTTTTTTACAGCGTGATGAAGACAGTAGTTTAAATTGATCACTTAATTTATTCAACAACTTCTCAAACGAATGATATTATTTATTAAGCAAATTTAGTTTTCTTTTAAAGAAAACATTTTTTTGGTATGTGTCTTTGATATGTTGAATGCAAGAAAATATTTATTTGTGTTATCTGAGAAACTGAAACTGTGTTGGTAAAAGGGGGTAACTTATATATTTATCAAAAGTTTTCTTCAGTAAATATTTTCATAGAATCGAAACATTTTATACACAGTTATTTTGTACACAGTTATTAATGAGATACTTTAACAAAAAGTACAAAGTCCTTTCATTATTTATTAAAATTTTTAATTTTCCATAATCGTAAATTCGTAACATTAATCTAACATTGTAAACATTGTTAACTTATAAAAGTATGAAATTGTAGCAAGATACCAATGTGGTAATAAAATAAAAAAAATAAAAAAATACCAAAATCTGGATTAATTGAAAAATTCTAATGTTTGGTATATCAATTTGATTCAACTTCTTGATGAAAAAATGTTATTTACTTTTTTTCTGAAAGGAAAATAACGCTTTTGTCAATGTAAACACAGTGAAACTGGCGCTAAAAATGAAACAGTCTGTTTATTATTTAATTTTCATTAGTTTAAGTGTTGCCGCCAAGTCACATTAAACTTCTTGTTAAAAAATACGAGAACAACTACAGTTTCATAGTATCACGAGACCACAACCCGCAGATCCGGAAGATATATGTGGTTGACTAAAAACGCAATCTCGTGTGAAGTCGACAAGCCATTTGCACTCTCAAACTCGAAAGGCTCATAATTTATTTTCTTAATCAAACTTACGAATTAAGACAAATTTATTCAATATTTTATTTATTTTATTTATTTTTAAATAGAGAATCTTATAGAAATATTCACTAATTAATAATCGCAATAAAAAAAAATAAAAAATAGTTTACGAAGAATCAGCATTGTGTTATCTATTATTGTTAAAACATTTGTCTAAATTAAGATGAAACTGTCTAAATAGAACAAGCAGTAACTCTCAATATTTGGAAAGCGGATAATATTTGGTATTACATATGTATGCAAGCAATAAGAGCATGCATTTCAAGTACTACAAGTATAGCCGAGTACTAATTACCAAATAATTTGCATGTAGAAAATCCAGGCGTCTTTTCAGAAACTCTCCAAGATATATATAATTCCATATCTATCGTGTAATTCAAATTGAGTGACTGTTCATAATTGGATGCATTAAATCGTCATTGTGCTTTATCATTCACATGACCAGCTTATATAGGCAAGCGGCCGATTTTGATTCAATAGAATTTCCAAATTATTATAGAAAGTGCTGTAAACCCCTTAACTATAAGCTTATCTTATATTGTTGAACAAGTTGAACGATTCTGAATTGAGGAATATATTATCATGCTCTCATGTTCAAATCGATTATCAACCGTGTACACCGCAAATTAATGTACATTTTCAAAAAAAATTTATGAATGGTAAATAATAACTTTTTTTTATTTCCTAAATTTCTTATTAATTTATTTAAATATCTGCTAAATAAATTTTCAACTTTGAAAAAGTAATACACTTAAAGGCAAAAATTTTATTTTTTATTATTATTAATCCGAAAGTAGAAAACTTGCACTTTCCTAATGGGCAAATATTTGGTAACTTTTGGAGGGAATAACAGTGGCATAATTGGATTTAGGGACAGAATCAAAGCTATAATATGCGAAGGGTACTAACTTGATATCAAGAGAGAGAGAGAGAGAGCGAGAGAGAGCTGATCCAGCTTTTAGCAATGACCAACGAAATTTGACTCCTGAAACAATATTAGTCCTTGTCTTTATGTATACCTAAAGATATGTTATACATAAAAAATTGCAAAAAATTATGTGAAAGAAAAATGAAAAATTATCTTCAAATTTTTCATTATACTTGTAATGTAATACTATTAATTCAAACAAAGTTGACAGTTCACAATTACAATATGAAACAAAAGTTTTATGTAGATAAATTTAGTGAATTAATTTAATCCATTAATTTATGTTTTATAATATTTAAAGAGGATCAATAACTTCTTTTTTAAATAAATATTTAATTATTATTTTTCCGTAGGAATTAAAATTTTTCAAAACATTCAAATTCAAACCTTTTTGAAATTCAAAAACTTTAAGATAATTTTTATAAAACAAGAAGAAATCGATAACTCCGAGTCTTTGACTCGGAGCAATCGATTTCTTCATGTTTTATAAAAATTAAAGATGACCGA